TTTTTGGTTGTTAACCCAGGGCAATTGGTCATATTTCCAACCAAAGATAAGTATTTGAAAGTAATTGTTTAATCAAAACAGTGAATGTTTGGGGATTTAAGTGCATAGAATAGCTGCACGAAGAAATATTAAACAAGTCACATAAAGATTCATTTTTCATATATAACGTTAGGGGGTTTTTATAGATTAAATTTAAAATAAAAGAAAATGTTTTTTTAATTATTGTAAAGCAACAACAATTGAGTTTGATGCGTTTTAAGAGCTTAAATTTCATCTTTTTATGTATTTACAATAGCCATATTAGAGGATATTTAGATTTTATTAGTAATTAAGTATCTTATCAGTGTTATATAGGGTAAAATAAAGTATTATTGGTCCTGTAGTAACTGTTAATTGATTATTCTAAATTTATTCATATTTTCTGAAACTTTGCTTGAATGAACAGAATAACAGATGACTCGATTATCTATTAAGAAAATTTGTTTTCCCTAAAATTATAGCTGTAAAATGCAAAAAACTTGTAAATACGATAACAATTCGAACACATTAATATTTGCTGAAATACATTTTCAGATATATATATATATTTTGAATTAAAACTTTTAGTTGTATATAGTATTGTAACACTGATAAAAATTTAATTATATAATTGTTATCATGGCTATTATTGAAAGCCTTAGTGATAATATGTCATTTATATTCTGCGTAAATGTTGTTTTATAGGTTCTTTGCATAGAATTACACTTTTAATATTTAGATTATATTATCAAATTTTTTTTCTTTGTTATATTATTCACATATATGTGTTTTATAAAATTAAATTTGCCTTATAGAGATAAAAAGAATCCTGGTTGCAGATAATGGGCACGTTTAGAAAACTTATTGTTACTAAAAGTCTTTTTATAATGATTTAACATTTAAAAAGTGTTTTTTTCAACGAATAGTAATTTACCATAAATGGTTAATGATATTATATTTCTGAGTTCTATAAAGAAAACTTTCTACATCCGAAAGTAAAAAAACATGGATAGAATGAAAATAAAAAAACGATATTATATGTGACATGCTAACAAAAGCTGGACACAACAAAACACATACTTTTCATAAAGGTTTTGATCCAATTTGGGATTGTTGTTTTTTTACATCTGTATTCAAGCTTTTGTAAAGAATTTGGCTATAAGTAACGATAACTAAAAAATTTTTAAATTTTTTTATTTGATTGGTTTTATCAATTTCACAAAACCTCAATATCTGATGTTTATTTGAAACATAAGTATAAATCCAGACAACAAACAACAGTAAAAAAAACAATAAAATTGTTTTTTAAGCGTTCTGTATAAAATGAAGATTATTTGTTATAAATTATAATTCTAATATATTTAAGTGTTTTTAATTAAAAATATATTATAGTATTGACTTTTATTTGCCTTTTGCTAAAATCAATACTATTATTTCTTATTTTTAATAAGGATTTTCCCCTTTTCACTTTTATTCTTGAACTTATGAATATTTTTTTCTGATTTATCTTATTCAACAAAATCACAACTCTCCTAATATATAAACTGATTTAAGATGATTTTTTTATTACACAAAATTTATTTTGATCAAAATAAAAATCTAATTTTATAACTGTTGGGTTATAGACTACTCTAACAGTGTAACATATATTCAATTTGATATTTTATTGGTTGAAAGTGCGAAAAGGAATATTTTGGTTTTGAAATTTTATTAATATTAGTTTATTTGTTTTTTATGCATTATCGCGATATTTTTTATTGAATATATATATGATTTCTTTGACGTGTTGTGAGAATAATTCTATTTTTAATATAGATTTGAAAATATATGAATTTTGAATTTTGGCAGATAGATCTAATGTTTTGGTGAAAGTCACTTCATTGACTAGAAAAAGAAAATGCGATTGGTTCTGAAAAAACAATATCGTCTATAAATAGACAAATATTTTGAAATAAAATGTCTTACAAAAATATTAATATTTTTTTCAATTTTGATCATACTCAATTATCTAACAATAAATATGTTAATGAAAGCTAATTATAATTTTTGCATTATTTATTTAGATATCATAAACATTGTATAATTAAAAAGATATGATGTTTACATCACAATTTGTTTATTACAAAAAAAAGAGATGTACACAGCGATGTTAAGCATTAAAATATCTAATGGGTGAAAGACAACACACACTTATATTGAATAACTATTAATGAAAAAGATTCTATTTTGGAATATTTATGTTGCAATTTTTTTTCTAGCATATTTTGGTAAATAAATTTCCGCTTGCACATTTGCTCAAACTTTAATGAAGGTTATTTATAAATTATAGCTCTGTAAAAGACAATTAATCTTTTAATAAACACAATATTTAAGGCTTTTAGAATATCTATATAAATTCGTAATTAACCTATCCAAAAAATACAGTTGTTTCTCAATACATTGATACAAAAGTGGCATTTTTAATCATAAAAGAAGGACAAAAGAAAATAAGCTATATTAATGAAATTTTAATAACATAACATTATGTCCAGTTGGTAATGATGACTTATAAAATATCAGTCATTTGAATTTCTGAAATAAATGTTCATCTGTTAGTTATTAAAAAACATTAAAAAAAGTGTCCTAAATTCATTTATTTCACAAAAACAACCAGTTTTTTTAATATAATATATGTTGAGTTAGACTATTTGAAAAGATCCTTTTTAAAACATTCATTGTATGAAAGTTTTAAAAATAAACCATAGATCATATTTTTTTTACAGACCGACATAATAATAAATGTTTATGAAAAGATGATTTTTTTATTATAGATTTTTTTACTTGGAATTCAGTAGAATTAATTGGAATAGATAAAAATTAATATAACAAGAAATATAGGTTATCATATCATTGTTTGTATTTTATATGAAATATGTAATTTCACAGATAATTGCTATTTTATTTATTTTTGTATGCAAACCTATAAAAAGTATAAACTCTATAATTTAATTATACTATAGGCTTTTTTTAAAAATGAGAAAACGTATTTTTTATAAACATGTTACATGATATATCATCTAAAGTGTTAGTTTTTGATCAAGTGTTTAGATTTTTTGTATTCAGCTTCAAAAAATTTTTTTATAAAAGTTTTTATGCGTCCAATTATATATTTTAAGGAATGTTTTAAAATAAATCATCTTATAGAAAAATTATTCTTTTTCTCCTACTGATTCCATAGCCAAACACAGTAAAGCGGGTAAGGCTGGTTTTAAAGACCCATAAAAACTAATAAAATCGAATGGAAATAATGCGCTTATGTGTATCAAAGTTTTTTCAAGGATTGAAAAGTCTTAATCTAGTTGCATCAATTATGAAGATAAAATTTTTCAAAGATAAAACGATATATTAAATTTAAATTTACTAGTTAATATTATATTTTGAATTTTATTTGTGCTACGATAACCATTAAGAGTGTTTTTGTACATTCATTGAGTATTCATTTTTTCGATTCTTGACAGTAATTTAAATGACAATTATATAATAAATTTAATATAAATAGTCTAAAAAAAATAAATAAACATAGATGTAAGCAACATCATTCGCTATTTGAAAATATTAATTATATCAAATATTATCTTGCTATAAACTCTGAAATGTTTTTCATTTTGATTTATGCAATTTGCGTCACGTTTCCATATTGGGTATTTTGTATAGATATAGTTCTTACTAATGTTTAAATTTAATATTTACAAATAAATCAAATATAATTCCCTAGTGATCGTTGGTCCTCTATTGTTTAGATAATGGCATTTTTGTTTTAATTTATTTTATGTATAAACCAGATTTCAAATGTATCTTATTGTATTTGCTGTATTTAGTAAACGAAATACAGCTTTTTTTATTATTCTGTTTGAAGTATCACAATTCGGCTCATACACTATCAGTTTATAAGAATTCTTTTTTGAGTCTTTTATGACAAAATATTTTTAACAGTCACATTCACCTGTAATTTTTATATCTTAACATTGACTTTATAAAACAAATCATTCTTATGAATAATATAATCTCAATTAGCGAGATACAAAATCGATATTAATTTGGAAATGGCCATAAAATGTAAAAAATGTGTTTTTCCTAAATACATAAAGATATATTATTAAAAACTATTATTAATTTTTTAATTCCTCATACAGACCGATTTTAATATGTTTTCTTATAGAGATGTCCTTTTGGATTACGAATCAAAGCAGCATTTGTAACAATTTTTATCTATAAATTATAATTTGCCAAAAACATGAAAAAAGCGCAAAATACATTTAGCTGCTTTTCTTGTTTTAAATAAATGCCTTAATATCGAATTTTTGGCGTTGCCATAAATATACTAATTTAATTAGATTGATTTGACCGAAAAGGTAAAACAGTATTATACTATATATTAAATTTTAAAACTGAATTTAAAATTTTATTGTATTTAAATTAGGAAATACGGCTATAAAAAACATTTGAAATTCTTTCCTTCATATGTTAAAGGAATTATAAACACAAAAAAACTGTTGATTACTATCAAACACAATATATTTAGACCAGAAAGATTTTCATTAACAAAAAATTCTGTATTTATCAAAATTCATATATTTCAACAAACACAAATCATTTATTCTGAAATTTAAATTCTTTGTTGCATTGCATATAAAATTTCTAAATTGAATTTCTTTAATATTCTCATATTTGAAACAAAATTATATGGCTTAGTTAATTTTAAATGTTAGAAAGGTTAGTAATTTATTAATACGAAATTCTTGATTTTTTGGTTTTTATTCTTTTAAAAAACTTTTAAAACAAATTTTAATGTCTTATATTTCTCAAAAAATTATCAATTGTTTTTTTTATAAATTTATTGTATTTCACTACAATTTAAAATTGTAAATAATTTAAATAAAACTTTTGAAATTTAGGGGAATCAAATAAATAATATAAAATATAGATTTTAAAGTCCTGAAAATACGAGTGAGAGAGAATCGAACTCACGTTTCATCCATTAGGGAGTTGTGTCATAACCACTAGACATCACCCGTGAATCTTAAATTTTTGTTTTGACATATCTCATCTTTATATAAAAATTAAAATTCGTACTGGAAACTTAGTAAAAAATAAATTCATCAATTTTTAAAAGCGAAAATCTATATAATATATCTCTATTGTTTTAAAAATTCTTCCTAGATTGGAAGAAAGCTATATATTAAAAAATTACGAAGAAAACTATTCAAACAGACTATAATAAAATGTAATAAATTATGCTTAAAACTACTGTATAACTATTTTATTTAGCATATTGAAATCAAGTTCAAGGTACAAAAAAACTTGATAAAATTGTAAAATTTGCCATATAAAATGGCATCGCGAAATTCAATGTCTGTTGGAAACGAATGTATGTTATTTATGAATTTCAATTTATATGAATATCTATATTGTAATTTTAACGATAAAATAGATAGGAAATTGACCATTAAAATGCTAAATATTATTATTTCAAAAAACTAAAATTTCATGATTTATGAACTTTAATGTTTTTATTATGTTATTCATTTCATTTCTATTGTTTTCAAATAAATGTTTCATGGAAAACTGCTTTAATTCCATTCTTAACTCTCCCTTCTCATTATATAATCTATTTATACTTTTATTTGATAAATTATCATTTTTCAAATCTCGTTAATATTTTAAAAAATAAAATAAATTATTTATCATTTTATTTTTTAATTAAAAATAATTAAAATTCTGAATTCATATAATTTTTCGAACACAATTAAAATTTATAAAAATTTTATTATGAAAAGATGTACATCAGAAACATGACATTAACATTTCCAAATTAACAAAAATTGTATATTTTTTAATATTTTATAAAAACACATAAATAAAATTGTGAATTTTTTTATGCTTTACAAACATTATTTTGCCAAAATCATCAAAATATCGGCAATTGAAATATAATTTTGTCTAAATCGCTATATATTACTAAAAAAGTTGATAATTTGTATGTTTTAACATAACGAGTTAGTTATTTATTTATTTTTGAACTTAAAAAAATGACAAAATATATACTATGTTTTTTAAGAAAACATTCTATAAAAATTTAACCTATAATAAATCGGCCTTGTTTCTTAAACTTTAAAAAATAACTTTACAAACACATTTTTTATTTATAAAACTTCTTGATTTTAATCCTTGACATAAATTTTACAATTTTTTTCCTAATTTATTTTACAAATGCTTTTTCTAGTTATATCTTAATTATCTTGACATTTAAGCTTTAGGAATTTTTTTTCAATTCGTTGAGTTTGTAAAGAATATTATAGTTACAATATAAAGATTTTGATAAAATATTTGATTTTGTTTTTTTTACCGAAATAAGATGCTTATTTCATTTCTAGTTATAATTGGCTATATAAATTTTTTCTATAACTTGATAAAAAAATTTTCTTTCTGTGTGCGATATTGCAAATTTTCTTAATTATATTTAAGAAATTTCAGATATAAATCGAACAAAAGTTTAAAAATTTAACTTCCATAATATGTAAACAAATTAGAAAATCACCAAAAAATATTTACATTTTTTATATATATTGTGTAAGTATTTGTTTCTAGTTTTACCAAGACTAGCAAGTTTTCTATCCAAAATTGTCTTTTTTCATTCTATACAGGTAATCTATTCAATGTGCATTTTTTTAATATAAAAAAGGAATATCGACAGTGCCTTTACGTTAGAATGAGACAGAGAAAGGATATATTACTCGTGTTCAAATATTCTAAAAAAATCTTTTATATATAAGAAACATTATTTGTTTTAAAATTAAATTCTAAAACATTTAAGTGTTTTTTATCGATAATTTTATTATAACATGAATTTTTATATGTTTTTCACATAAATAATCACCATTATTCTAATATTATTACTATTTGTATCAATAAGATAGTTATTATTATGAATATATTTTGTTCTTATCTCTTTTATTCTTATGAATTTCTTTTTTGATTTTTCTTATTTAAAAAATTACAATTCTTTTAAAAGAAACCTTTCACAAATTAATTTTTTTCTATACTGAAATTAATTTTATTTCAAAATAAAAATCTAATTATATAACTATTTTAAAGGAAACCAATTTTAATTATTGCATAATATAAAAAGATACAAATAACATTTAATAAATAAAAAAAATGTGAAAGTTTTTATCACATTTATATGCGTAACTGCTATTTAGAAAAATATAAATTGATCAAATTGCAACTAAAAGCATGATAAACACTCAAAAATTCTACATATGTAAGTATTAAAACATCTTTTAATTCATATAATATATATAATATAAAAGCTAAAACAACAGTGTTCTGCATGTTTAAAAAATTAGATTTTTAATAGATTATCATAATCGGGAGAAATATTAGAAAGAAAATGAACCTTTTTATGAAATTAGTAATATTTTCACTTATTTTTAAGGATTAAATGGTTATCCTTTAGATGACTTAGGACGGCGTATATTTTTAATGCAAAAAAAACACCGAAAAAATAAAAAAACAAAACATCAATTACAACTTAACTCTTCAAAATTTTACTTTTTAATATATTTATTAGTACAAATTTCAATTGAAATTTAAATATTATATGTCTAATCAAAAAGACTTTAGTTATTTTTTCTGTGCACATGCAATCAATTATATAAAAAATGCAAAGTAGTGCATAAATAAAAAGTGTTTGTTTTAAAACTTACATGTATCTAAGCAAATGACCTTTTAAACTTTATAGGATTGTAATAAAAATATATTAAAAATTAATCTCCAATGGTTAAAATAGCTCAATTACTTTTTTTAAAAAATTTTTATAAGAATGGTAATAAAACCAGTGAAAAAAAACGTTTTTAAACATTTTATTCTGATTTTTTAAATTAATTATTATTTGGTATATAAATATTATATTATAGTGACACTAAAATGATGGTATTTTTATAAATTTATTACTGAATTTAAAGAATAAAAAGTATATATTTCGAGAATCGGGATGATTTTATAGAAAAAAAGGACAATTCATTATAAGAATTAATAATAAATGATTAATTAGTAAAGCGAAACATCCGATAAATTATAAAATCAAACAATAAATTACAAAATTTATATTTTGTTACTTTCTAGTTCATAATTTTTTTCTCACATTATAATGTCGTTTTTACTGTTTTTTATTATTCTTTTATGAACACAAACAAATAAATTAAGATAAATATTTTGAAATCATAAAGAGTGTAAAATTGAGAAAATTCAAAATCATACATCAAAAAACTAATATATCATTTAATCTATTCATATGGGTTGTTTGTTTATTTATTTTTATTTTTTATAATTTGTTACTTATAATTTTTGATCTCAATCAATTTGCTTTACAGTTATCTATTTAGAGGCGTGAATTATGAATTGATTACGCATTACAAAAAAGAATATGATAAATTTATTATTGCTATGCCCAACATCAGGGATCAACTATGCATTTTCAAACCCTAAAAAAATTTAAATTATTGAATAATATTATTTATAGCGATTTTCAAATATTTATTTTGCATTTATTATCGATTTTTCATGATCAAAAAATCCTTTTAAAAACTCTAAATTAAATTTGTAAAAAGGACAATGTCAGTAAACAAAAAGCAAATAGTAAAGAAAGAAAGAAAGAAAAAATAACAAAAAACTTACAAATAGTAATTTAAAACACATAAAGATTAAATTTCTATATGTAAATATAGACACAATAAAATTGTAATGTCTTTTTTGCTGTTTCTTAAGGAGCTTATTCATGTTTTAGAAACAGATGACTATAAATAACACTTTGCAATAAAAATCAATTCATATTTTCTGTAAAACTTTTTATTTTAATACGTATTTTGCACCATAAAAAAAATGAAAATATAAAAGTTATAGGAACTAATTTATGTTTAAATAATTGAAAAGTTATTTAATCCTGTAAAACATTTTTAGAAAATTACATATCAATAAAGCATCATAAATATCTATTTAATACATGTTTTATATCGCAGATATATGTGTTTCGAGTTCGGCCTTATAACTTTGCCTCGGTAAGTGGTCTAAATGACATATCAAAAGAGATTCATATAAAAAAATCATAATCAGATGATTAAATATCCTCTAACAATGCATGAAAAATAATAAACACAAATATACAAAATTCTCAAAGATATAATATTTTTTACCTCTTATTTTTTTCTTTGTGTTGTCGTATAGTATTGTCCTCAATTGATTGTATTTATAATTAGTTTAAAACAAATTAGAAATTTTTTTATCTATAATAAAATACATAAAAAATAATAAAAGAATGCAAATAATTCAATTACAGATTTTCAAGTCTGAGCAGCGTTAATAGAATAGGTATAAACAAGAAGTAAATATGTTGGGGGTATTTTTGTATTTATATGACACACTAATTCGGGTTTAAATTCAAAGAAGACACATCTTTATATTGTACCATCCGTTCATCTGTGCGTTATGCTTTTTTTTCCCTTGTGTTCATTCTATATCGGGAAAATAAGTTTTATTTTTTTAAGAATGCTTGTTGTTAAAATAGATATAAATAACAAATCTACTTTTTTCACGTTGAACAAACTAACTTAGAAACAATATTTCTGTATCTTATTTAGAAAAATATTCAACAGATCGTTAATAATAAAATATGGAAATATATATTAAAGACCGATATGCCAGTAAGAAAAAAAAAGCCAAAACATGTGTCAAATGCAATCAAGTTAAGAAAGAATTGCATAAAAGGCCGGAGTTATGGGTGAAGTAACTAAAATGTATTAAAAAGGTATAAATAACAATGTATTTTTAAAGGAATTCTGCGATACACAAATTTTCATAATATCTCGACTTTGAGCAACACAACAAAATTATTTACTATTTAAAGCAGCAACATAAATTAGTCAAAAAATACATACATTAGCATATAAATTTCATATATTGTGATATATTTTTTAATATAATGTTTTTTGTATTATTTACTTCAAAAACGATTTA